TCAGTCATCATCCAGGTCATCTCTTGGGTCCGTATCATCTATATTATCTGTTGAATCCCAAGCAAATCTTCCTAGACCATTAGTAAGTATACCAATTCTCAGTTTTGAATTGGCCATTAAAGAGATGAGCACATAATTTTTTTTCATGAGAAATTGAAAGTGAGAATAGTGAAATTATATCACGTGGATAGGCAAGAATTCTGAGTGTTCATATCACACATTTTCTCCCTTTAAGGTCATGGACTATTGAGTTCTCAGAATTTACTTATTTATTGAGACAGAGTCTCACTCTGTCACCCACGCTAGAGTGTGGTGGCGTCATCGTAGCTCACTGCAACCTCAAGCTCCTGGGCCAAGCAATCTTCCTGCTCAGGCCTCCCGAGTATGTTGGGACTATAGAATGTCACAATGCCTGCTAATTTTTATTTTTTGTAGAAACAGGGTTTCTGACAAATTTCACCATTGGCTCAAGATGGTCCTCAGACTCTGGCTCAAGTATCTCCCTCTAGCCTCTTCAAAGTGCTTGGATTAATGGTGTGGAGGCACTCCCAGCCACATTTTTGTATTACAGGTTTTCATTAGCCGTTTCTGAATATGGTTAATACTTCGCTTATCTCCAGGTAATGAGCTTGGCAGATTTTAATGCTCTTTTCAGTATACTTTTATGTATTTTCTAAATATTTTGGTTGGTCTACAATAACATGGTGGCGTGTACCTAGCAAGGGACAACAACAACTAACGAGGCAGAGCAGGTATTAGGTAGTGATGGAGGCCCGAGAGATGTGTGTTATGAATGAGCACTTATCATGTATTCTATCTTGTGTGTTCTGTTCAGTTTGATATTTCGAGCTGTTCTCCAGAAATCTTCGGTTAATTTTCCATGTTTTTCTACAGAATAGTAAGAGGAGTGAATTGCATTCTTGTTAATGTATCAATTGTCTATTCGTCGAATACATGAGATTTGCATGTTCTGATACTGTTCCGAACGCTCCTTCCTCGTGTTATGAAAATAACGTTCCTGCATGTGTCGCAGATTTGATAATTTTTTATATCTTAACTATGACAAGTAGAGTCAAAATCTTATGCCATATACTTAACAATAACAAGAATCCGTCTGAATTCAGTGGGACGAGCATTTCGTACTCTTAAAAGCAAGAAGATGAAACTTTACTGTTTCTTAAAAGCTATCTTTTATTTCTTCCCTTTCAAAGTTCTCTGTGGACTACCTCAGTGCTGGAAGTGACTTGTTTTGCTTTGTTTTGTTTGTTTGTCTCTCTGTTACTCCTGCCACATGGCTGAACTAGTATTCCAATTCCTTTTTTTTTCGCCCCCTTGCTGGTATTCCTGCTGAGTGCATGTCAATAAGCTTGGCTGTCATGTTGTTTGGCTTTTTGGTTGCCATTTGCTTTATTTTTTTTTGGGCTGGTGATAGTTCATTCAAGAGGAGTATGTTTAGGCATTGATACAATGTGTAGAGATTTTCAGCCTTCTTCCTTTCCTGTTTAAATTCAAACTGAATATTAATATTGAGGTATCTTCTATAACTGCGCTCCAAACCTAAGGCCATGGACTGGGTAGACCAGTCAGTGCTTATTTAGAGGACTGGGGCTACCGAGCTCCCACTGGCTGCCACTCCCGGTGCCCAGCTGTCTGTGAAATAGTCTTCCTGAAATCAGTCCTGGGCCACAGCAGTCTGGGACTGCTGTAATTGTATTATCATTTCTCACTGTGGACTTCAAATCTAAATGACCAAGAGACTTGAAGATTCTTATGATACTAGAAAACCTCTGTTGTTGCTAAAAGATGTCAGAAATTTCTTTATTCTTCTGAAACAAAAATATAACCACACAGTGTTAATGTAATCACGGTTGCCATGCGCACCCCAGATATGTGTAACCAGTCTTCCTACCATTGTTTCCTTCTGAAGCTAGCAGAAGTGTCCCATGTCAACACACAAGAGATGGTGCATTAATGGACTGCAAGTGCATCTAATGAGATGAGTGAATTGGCTCACCATCCTTTCTGCTTATTTACAAAGGAAAATATTTGAACATTTCAGGATGACCTCGCCAGACCTATAGGTTATGAATCAGTCTTTATTGCTGATTTCATCCACATGGGTTATGAGGCTAATTAACTATCATCCACAACAACACACACGGCACAAACAGCACACACACAACACATTATTTGCGACTTATAATCAGTGTCGTTTTGTTTTTTCTTTGTCTTGGATATTTGAAAATGATTTTAGGGAGCGTTGAGTAGGTTTTCTTGTGGTATTATAAATAATCAAATTCTAGCTGATGTGTGGTTTGCAGAGGATCGATTGGCGCACGCCTGTAATCCTATGCACCTGGCTTGGTGTGGCTCTAAGTACCGGAGGATCTCGTTATGAGTCAGAGTCCTGGTACACCAGCCTGTATGCTATTCCGATGCTCGGTGCCGCTTCTCTTACTACTATAGATAAATATCTAGAAGATAAATTATCGTACATGATTATATATATACAATAGTATACATATATACACTACCAGTTTGAGTGGCCGGAACTGTTGTGGGTGATGTTGCTATGTACGTCTCCAGTCCTTCTACTAGAGTCGTAGGCTGACGGCTATGTAGGTAGGATTGCATTGGACGCACATGGTGTGGTAGTGAGCGGTGCTCGAGGCTGATGCTGATGCTGACATGGCAATCATAGCCTGAAAAGTAGTCAGAAACGATGAACTACTGTGTTCTGTAGTTTGGAATTAAATTAATACTAAGATTAAATGAAATCTACAATTAGTTGTTGTAGCAAAAAAAAATAAGATAGGAGAGAGTGTGTGTGTAGATTTACTTTAAAAGAGAAGGAAGGTGCATATTGTATCTTATGGTAAGTCTGATCAGTCTAAAAGGTTTATCGTTGCTTTCTAGTACAGTAGCATCTTAAAGTAGGTGTATGTAAACATGTAGTGTTGCATGAATTCTTATAGATCTGTCCGGGAAGAGTCATCGTGATTACTATCCAATGTTAAAAAATATGTGATTTAGTAATGCTATAGATAGTTGGATACAGATAATAATGCCTAGCAATTGGATTATGGTGTGGTAGAGTTACAGAATCTCACTTTCCAGTAAGTCATTTCAAGGTGTCAATTGCCATGGTAGTGGATAAGATGAGACTGAGATCATTCCTATATTGCATGGAATGAAGCTGAAGCCACTTAGACACCTCCTATCTCGTAACTCATTATTAAATGTAAAAACTGCACTCGTCAAATACCACAGGATTACAGACTTGAAATGTAAGACCAAAGTGAGAACCTCGACCTAGAGAAGAGAAGATCGCTGAGGGAAACATTCCTCTCAATCGATGGTTGGTCTAGGCAAAATTAATTTTTATGAGGAAGACTCAAATGCAGCACGTGCACGACAACAACAACAAAATTATAGAACTGACAAATGGGAGTATATCAAACGAAAACCGTACTGCTACAGCAGGATACGTTCAAGTCAACACCTCATTTTCCTTGTATTCAAGTCAACAAGGTTTCTTTGTCAAATCTGCTTAGCTACAAAATGTAACTTTGGGACTTTTTTCTGTTCTGTTTTTCCATCACTAAAAGAACATGTATAAAATATCCTGTTGAAGCCATAAGAAAGAATAATATTTAAGTACGTTATGATGTTTTCAGAGTCTCAGAGAAAATGTGGAGGTGATGCTTGGCTGTGTTATATATTGACTAATCCTCATGGTGGTTTTTGGTAATGGGTTCTTTTTTTTGGTTTGAGTTGTTGATTGTTGGGTATGAGGTTGGACGCGCTTTATGGGGGGTGCCGCATAGATGGAACGAGTCGTGTTTATTTTTTTTCGAATGTCCGAAGGACACACGAGAAGGCAGTCTTGAAGCTGGAAAGGGCGCCGTCAAGTATGGATTTGCTGAGGTTGATTGTTTTTAGAGACTGGACTGGGACGTGTATGTAATGTGCTGATGAGATGGATTTCCTCACAAGCATGTCGTATCATGGAGGCTGTGAGCAGCAGAAAAGGTTATTGGCTCAGTATTATACAGCATGTCTCTCACGGAGAGACGGAACTGGCCATTGATATCCAAGTTTGGTTTTTCTAGTAGTAGTTAGGTTGTAGACTTCACCGTGAGTCCATATGAGGAGGTTTTATTGTCATGGCAGATGGGTTAGCTTTTTGATTGGATCTGGGTGGTTATAGTTAGGCGCTATGGTGGTATTTGATCTGGTTTTGGGAGTCGTTGTTGAAGTGAATAGTTATAGGAAGAATGGACTGTCCAGACATTTTCATAGATTTATGGAAGCCAATGGATCTTGTGGTACTTGGAGCTCGAGGAAGCCGTTGCAGCAGGGGTTTGATGTTATTCAAAGGGGTTTGATCCATCTTAGTTGATATCTGTTGTGGCTGCGACTTGGGGAGGGAGAGCTGCTCAGTCTAAAATGGAAATTGAGCGAGAATGGACGGAAGCTGGAGAACCTACGTGCATTCAACAGTCGTTTCCCGCGTTTCTGTACCATTGTCACACGCTGTGCC